ACTTAGTATACATATACAGAGTGCTCCAACCAATCAAGCCTCGTGGCCTGTTTTGCAAGCGTCACATTAAAAATATTTTCTCAAAAATAATAAAAAAAAAAAAAAAAAAAAAGGAAAATTAGGGCTGCACAACTTGGTCCTATTGTGTTGAAAATGTATTTGATCTTTGTAAAGAAATAACCTCAATGAGAGGAAAACAGGAGGGGATGAGTCACTTCCTCACGCGCCATTGTGTCCCAGAACCATAGCAACCTGCAGCAATGTTTGCCTGCTGCTCAGCACAAGCATGAACTGCGGGGAGGACATGAGGTCAGCAGTGTGTCACATACACTGCGGGCCCCAGAAGATTTCAACCGAGCCGAACTTGGTGATGTGGCAGCCAGCAGCCTCACAGGGAAGCACAGCACTGAAATTCTCAGTGCTGCTGTTGCAGACAAACTTACTGCCCTGCAAGCCATTTAAATGCAAAGCTCGTACAGCTATGTACAGTGAAGAGTACTGTCTCAGTTACTTTTCTCCTGTTGCTGAGACAAAATACCTGACACCCAGGGTTAAAGAGGAAAAGCTAAGTAATTGGCCCACAGTTTGTGGAGGTTTCAGGCCATACTCAGCTGGCTCCAAGGCAGGTTGGCACATGGCTGAGGGTAGCAGTTCGTGGTGGTGCAGAAAGCAAAGGCAGCAAGAGCAAAATGGGAGGAACAGCAGAGAGCGAGCCTCTTTCCCTCTTTATATTGTACACAGGCCAACACTCTAGGCTGGATGTCGCACCCACACTCAGGAGCCCAGCTTTGGACCATGAATCAGTTACAAACTCTGAAACCAGCCCCATGACTGCACGAAGGCTTTAGGGACATCGAGGCGCAAGCTGCAACATCCCGCCCCGGGCCCCCCAAAGACTCACATACAACCCTTTATGCAAAAGGCATTGTAGTCCATCTCTAAGAGTTTTCAAAATTTTGAAAGCTTCAGCATTGCCAAAAAGTTCAAGTCCCTAGTCTTCTATAAGATGTAAGGTAAACCTTTAGCTGAGAGCCCCGGCACAAATAAAAAGTAAGTTAAATGCTACCAACATTCAACGGCATAAGATAAACATCACCATTCCAAAAGGAACGAATGGGGATACAAAGTATTGGGACAAAAGCAAGTCCAAAATCCCACAAGGGGATCATTAAGTCCTGTAGTTCCAGGGCTGGGGAGATGGCTCAATGGAATAAGCGCTTCCCTGGCAAGTGCACAGGCCTGAGTTCAATCCCCGGTTCCGCCAAAAAAAAAAAAAAAAGTCCTGTAGTTCCAAGGCATTCTAGGACAAATTGTGGGCACCATGTGTCTCCACCTCTATGGCACTTTTGGTGGCTTCTCCCTTAGGCCTGCTTTGCTCCCTCTGCAACTTTCCTTAGGTGATCCAGGATCCTGGCTTCTCCAAACTTCTGGGGTCTCTGCCGTACCTTTGGCTCTCATTCACAGCTTCACATACCGCTCTCTCAGGAGCACACTTCCTGACCTTCCAGGCCTACTTCTAAAATCCAGGTGGAAGCCTTCTTCTTCTTTTTTTTTTTTTTTTTTTTTGCGGAACTGGAAGCCTTCTTAACCTCAGAACTCTTTTTGTTTTTGTTTCTGCAGTACCGGGGATTGAACTCAGGACCCTGCACTTGCCAGGCAAGTGCTTATTCTACTGAGCTATCTCCCCGGCCCTTCAGAACTCTTGTATTCTGCTTGCACCCCAAACCAGTGCCACATGGATGATGCCAAGGTCTGCTGCCAGCTGGAGCACCAGCCAGGGCTTCTTGTCTGACTTGTCTTGACTGTAGGGGTTAAGTGTCTCAATCTCTGAGTACTCTAAGCCTGATTCTGAGAAAAAAATTCACTAAGCCACTGCCATTCTGGAACCTGGGTTCCCTGTTGTCATTCCAGAACATGGTACTCTATGGCTTTCTCCTCAAAGCAGTCTTTTACTTTAGTAGTTTTGAGGTTGTGAAGGGTGGGGATTACCTGATTCTTATGATGTCCTCAGGCCATCTTTTCCATTGTCTTGTTCCTTCTTAGCAATGGAGATCTCCTCAGCTCTATCACAACTTTATTGGAGGTTTCTTTCTAGCCAAAATCACTTCATCCTACTGGGCTCTTTGCTCTTGAGTCTCTACATAAATCTGACTAATTGCCCCCAACAATAGCCATGCCACTGCCTCGACATTTGACTGTCTTGAAATTTCTTTTGCCAGATTAATCAATCTACCACCCTTAATCTCAGTCTCAGGCAAAGTCTCTGGACATGAACAAAATTCTGAAAAAATTTGTGCCAAGCCACACAATACATAATCTGGAGCTCAGCACTCAATATAAACCTTCTTGCCAGCAGAAACCTCCTGAGCCTGGTCTTTAACAGCAGGATTTCTATCAGTCTTCTAGTCTTCTGAGCTCTGACCAGAATCTCCCATACATAACATCTTAAGGTGTTACACTGCTTCTCTTTCAGGAAACTTTCCAAACTCTTCCCAAAAGCCATTCGCAAAGGCTCTTGAACTGGATGGTCAGACACAGTCCCCGGAATGACCCCACTCCTGGTATCAAATTCTGTCTTGGATACTTTTCTCTCATTGTTGAGACAAAATACCTGGCACCTAGAATTAAAGAAGAAAATGTTTATTTAGCTCATAGTTTGTGGAGGTTTCA